AGGAAACATATCACCTTAAAATATGAAGCACACTATTCAATATTTTTGGTCTAGAATGCAAAATTTACCACGTTCTGAAAGGCATCACAACTTCTCACTTGGAATTACACAAAACATAAAAAAAATTTAAAACATAATCTGCTACTATTACAAGTATATTAAATCCTAGTCTACTGGCACTAAACAACAGGATAATTCTTATCTACACAGTTGAATTTATACTTTCTTTAAGCAAAAGGAAATATAAGGAAGCACTATAAAATCAGCAAACATTGAAACTTAGGCTTTCTCTTGATTAGAAAAGAGTTTGTTATTATTATGCCTCCTGAGCTTAGGAATGCAGCACTACAGGTTTAAAGAACGGGAAAAGATCATTACTAAATACAAATCTAACTCTTAAAAGTTTAAGATTCTTCCCTGATGAAACTGTTTAGACTAATGAAGGTGTTGCAAATGAACTGAGCATTCGGCACAAAGGAGGTACCACGACTGTACTAATAGCACTTTAGTAATATGTAAAATTTATTTTAAAGCTTCACATTGTTATTCCTCTCCTGCTATCCTTTCTGCTTTAATGTGAAACAGCCATCAGTTATAATGGTAAGTTTAGTATCCCTACCCATTCACCTCACTTGCCTCTGTCTCTAAGTGTGCCAAAGGACACAAAAGGCCAACATTTCCTTTTCTTAGTATTCAAAGTCTTCTAAAACTCAAAGGAAACAAACAGAATAGAGAAACCTCGTAATATCAATACATACTTCCATATTCCTTATTTCCATTCAGGGAAATGGAATGCTTATAATAACAGTAGCTCTTAGCATAACCCAGCAAAAGAAAATGATTTTTGGAAAAAAATTTAAAAAGAATAAGGTCAGTATCACCAATTGGTAGAAGTAAAGGCAAGGTAGAAAAAATGTCATCAGCATATTTTAATCTGCTCCTAACACTAATAACTGATCACACATCCTCTTCTGCTTTGGCTGCTGGAAAGTCTGAGAGCCAGACTTATTCTCGAGGCTTATTCTTTCCCTGTTTCATGGTATACATGCAAGCTGACTTACTCCTGGCTCTAGCTTACTGTCCTATTCCTAGATTTTTCTCAGTGTAGTTTTTCTTAATCATTGATGAATAACTTTCTTTGACATGACAAAATACATGTATGTATGTATGTATATATATATTTGCATGTAAAACTGATTTGCATAACTGAAAGTGTATTTTTTCTTAAACTTTAAAAAATCCATTATCTATGATGACATACATACAAACATGCAAACACACATGAAAATTACAGAATTAGTCTTGGTTTTCTTCACAATAAATATGGAACTTTTCCCTTGTCCTCTATAACAGAGGAAACTTTGAAGAAAAAATGGTAATATCTCTATGAATTTGTTGTGTTTCACGTATGGATTTGTAATCACCATCTATTCAGGTGTGTAAGAAATATTGTTTACTTTCACTTAAAGCAGAATCTGAGATTCCAGGAAATTTAAGCTTTGTTGTTTTGGGTAATTGCCTCTTCCTTCCTAGGATTCTACATCCCAGGGATCTTACTCCTGTTCCATTTAAAATAAATTTCTGTATATCCTCACAGTATGTTCTCTATACCTTAAAAAAAAGGAACTATTAATTGTGAGCTTAAATTTATTAACATTCACAGCTATTCTTATCTCCTTCACTCCTGTCTATAAGCACAAGGTGACCATCTTCCTGTTCAAGGCAAACCCTTCTGCAGATTCTCAATTCCATCTCTTTCTAAATTTGGGGGAATTCTGTTCTCTCTGTTGGCTCCTTCCTATGTGCCATGAACATGCTCAAGTGTCTGCCATTTTTCAAAATCAAAAATCAAAATCCTTAACCCACATTCCTTTCTTCTCAACTATCATTAACATCTTTCTTATTCAAGTTTATTCAAGGATCACTTTATAGTCCAAATTTCTATGCTTCTTTCCCTCAAATCACTCTTGAACTTACAAAAAACTGGCTTCTATACCTAATACTCTATTAAAACTACTCTTGTAGAGGTCACTAATGACCACCTAATTTCAAACAAAATGGATACTTTTTGCCCTCATCTTACTTAACCATTCAGAAACATCTGACTTTTTAAAAAAAATCTCCATCCTTGGCTTCAGTGATATCACAGTTTTTGATTCTACTCTTACCTCACTGACTTCTTGTTGTAAAAATAAGTTTATCTTAACATTAGTTGAGCACTAACAACAAGCCAAATACTGTGTTAAGAGCTGTAAATACTTAAAATAACTCTGTAAGATACGTACTATAATTCTCATTTTACAAAAAAAAAATGGTCTTGGAGAGGTTCATTCATATAAGGTCATGCAAGGGAGGGCTGTCAACTGCAAATCCCTGTAGCTTAACGACATCATTAGCAGATTTTTTTAAAAAAAAGTAGCAGTGAGAGGGGTCCTTGTGAAGCTTATCTTTGAGCCAATAATTGTTAACTCTTTATTTAGAAGCGGTTATTTAGCTCTGTTAGATTCATGTAGATTAAAAAAAGTCTTTGAAAGATAACTGTTTAAGCTTCATAATTTTCAAAAATCTTTCAATAATCTTCTGCAATTCAGCAAAGAGAAGGAGCATCAAGAACCGGTATCAAGGTTTGTTTTTCAGTAAGTAATGTCAATTTTTGCAAGGTTATCGCATTGCTCTCAGCATTCTCAGACGCTGTCACTTTAACAACAGAGCACCTGCTGTCCTATCTCACAAGGATGGCAGGAGAGTTTTCCATAAAAACTCTCCCTATCAATGGGGTGAAACTACTACATACCATATTGCAATATCCAAGGTCTGGGCAAAAATCACACATTATTCATAAGTCTTAATAAAGGGTTTAATAAATGCTTCTATTATTCTACCAAGAAGCAACCCTAATTTAATGCAGCTAACTGAGCAGTTACAGTTGAGAATTCACTGGTGTAAAATACAGATGAAAGACTGTTACATTTACCCTCTTAAAAAAAAAAAAAAAAAAGGATGGGACGTCTTCAACTGCTATCAGGGTTCTGCTTGCCTACGTGCCTACTGATTCTAACTGCAAGCAAATGATTCCCCACAGGCAGTCATCCAACAAACATCCTTGGTATTTGATAACCGTATTAGTTTCCTAGGGCTGCTGTGACAAAGTACCCAAACTAGGGGGCTTAAAACAACAGAAATTGGGCTTCCCTGGTGGCGCAGTGGTTGAGAGTCCACCTGCCGATGCAGGGGACACGGGTTCGTGCCCCGGTCCGGGAAGATCCCACATGCCACGGAGCGGCTGGGCCCGTGAGCCATGGCTGCTGAGCCTGTGCATCCGGAGCCTGTGCTCCACAACGGGAGAGGCCACAACAGTGAGAGGCCCGCGTACCGCAAAAAAAAAGAAAACAAAAACAACAGAAATTTATTGTCTCACAGTTCTGGAGGCTACAAGTCCAAAATAAAGGTTTCTGCTGGGTTGTGTCCTCTTTGACAGCTGTACGGGAGAATCCTTCCATGCCTCTTCAACTTTTGGTGTTTGCTGACAATCCTTGGTATTCATGTGCTTGTAGATGCATCACTCCAGCCACAAGGCTGTCTTTGCCCTGGGTCTTCATATAGTCTTCCCTCTATGCTTGTGGCTCTGTGCCCAAATATCTACTTTCTATAAAAACTTCAGTCATGCTGGGTTAAAGCCCATGCTAATGACCTCATTTTAACTTGATTAGCTCTGTAAAGACCCTATTTCCAAATAAGATCACATTCTGAGGTACTAGGGGTTAAGATTTCAATATATTTTTTTGAAGGACACAATTCAACCCGTAACAATAACCAATTACTGTATATGCCAATAACATTGCTCCAAAACATGGGTTCTTCACATGAGGGTGGGAAAAAATTTTCATCTTTATTTTTCACTCTCATGTAAATACAGTATTTCCTACAATTATGAACACAGGCAACAAACTATACTAGTATTATTAGTGGCTCTTGAGAGTTTACGCCATAGAAACCACTGGTATTTTCATGTCACATTTCAGTGTTTGCAGTTATCCTCAAAATACCATTTACAGTCATTACTACTTTGAAATTACAGTTTTTTAATAGACTTGCTGTTAGATCTAGTTATTTAATTATTAATATATTAATAATGTATTAACAATGGCACATGTATTTTATTTCAGTAAAACTGATTTTGATTTAATTACATTTTATGCACTTATATTTTAAGATGGGGACTAAATTTTAAAAAAATCTTTCAATAACCTACAGCCCCAGTTAGTGAATTCTTACATTTCAGATGAGGTTTTAAAAATCTTTGTATTAAAAAATATGCAGGGCATTGTACATCACTTTTCAAACCTTTTTTTTCTTTAAACTATGATCCACTGTGAGAATATATATTTTAAATATAGCCCAAGACACAATCTTATTTCTCTCTCACACAACACAAAACTGAAACAAAAATATCACAAAACAATATTTACCCTTTCTGCACTCTGACATTTTCTATTCTATTTCTTTTCATTTAAAAATGCCAGTGTGACCTACTGAATTAATTTCACAACTATTCTTGGAGCATAAATTAAATAAGTCTTAAAAATCCTTTAGTGGCCTTCCTTTAGAAACTTCTCATACTATGATAGGTGAAAGGCTATTATTAACTGCTTTTCATGTACTATTTAAAAAATGTATGCCATCACTTTAGAGGTGCCATTTAGATGAGCAAATTGCTCAAGAGCTAAGCAGCTTCCATTTAGACAACTAGCTAAGAGTTATGTAAATTTTATAATTCCCATTTTATAATGGGAGCCTAAACTTATACTTTACCAAATACAGGAAGGAAAAAAGGTACAATAATTAATATTTTAGGCCTGAATCATTCTGAAACTACAAAAATGTCTTAAGTGAATAATGTTTAATTTCATTGAGGTATTTCCTCATTCACCACTATAAAATTAGGTAGAAACATTTCCCAAACTAACATTTATTTATGCCTAGGATAAAAAGAATTTTACCTGTAGTAAACTCGAAGTGTCTGGATTTCTTCTTCCAGTTTTTTGTATTGTTGAACTGCAGTTTCTCTGGCTTGTTGCATAGCTAACAACTTTGCCTGCAATTAATATTTTAAGAAACTTAATATTAGTTTGATACATTAAAATACAGTGCTATAGTATGAATAGAAGTCTTTAATTTCTGGGAGTTTAAAACCTATCATATTTTTAGTAGTGGTTCATAATTTCCCACAAAATAATCCAATTATATTAATAACAGAAATACTAAAGACATGAACATATTAAATTTACCAACTTTGCTCATTACTAAACTTCAACCTTATTCATCTGTATCATCAGATATATGCCTTTCTGCAATGTTTAACTTTATACACGGAATTCAGAAAGTGGAACGTGGGTTCAGAGCATTATCTAGAGATAAGCGCAGTGGGTGTTTCACATATAAATTTTATGTGGCTCCGCTGCCTGATTGCTAGATTTTCTTTTAACTTTATTAATAGAAACTCAGAAAATTCTAAATATGTTAAGCCATCTTTGATATTTAACATGAAAAAAAATACACAAGACTACAACCTGATTCTTACAGATACGATTTAACCTCTTCAATTCCTTTTCTGCAGAAAAAAAAAAAATCTCTAAAGGGAGAATGGCAGCAATCTTGAATGTTAGAAATATTTTATTCAAGGGATGTTATTGTTCTTCTCTGCCTATAATATTCCAATTTTAAAGAGTCTTAATCAGTTTTTCAATAGGGTTCAAACTAGTAATTTTAAAAGAATTGCTACCTTCCAACCATCATTCCCACTGAATTTCAGGCATAGTCAAAAAGAGTTATCAACCCAACTTTTAAAGTATGGTACTGGTAAGTCAGATTTCAGTTTTGTTTATTCAAAGTTTAATTTCCATGAAAAGGCTATCTTTCACTTTAAATGGTGTTTGATAGATAACACAAAGCAAACTGGTATCACATACCTCACAAACTACACTAATTGTAATAATTAAAAAGTAATCAAAAGTTGGGGGCAGAAATTCACTAATTTTGCTGAAATCATATGACTTCACTGAAATTATTTTCTTGCATAAGAATGAAGTCACAAGACAAATTGTGAAATCTGCTCATAGGAAAATTAATGAGTGTAATATAAATGAACATTAGACAATGCCACTTTTCTATTTTAATAATGCAGAATTATAAAAGCATGCAGCAGTTTAGATCTTTGTATATAAAATTAGGCACTAAATTAATTAATTAGTTCTCTATCTGGGCTAGCAAATTTTAACAAAAAGTTACTTTTTAATTAAATTTAAGATGCTTGTATGCTTGCTTCAACATGTCACATTCTAGAATTATAGATGAAACAGTCTCAAAAATTATTAAAAAAGCATGTAAAGCTGGTTCTTGATGCCAATAATTAACAGCTTTGCCAGTTTTCAGTATACTATAATATGTGATTGAAATGGTAACTTGGAAGACCAGATACCCAATGCCACTAATAACAAATCAAAAAGAACTGCCCAAAAAAGATATATCACATTCAACTTACAAAACATCAGACATCCTGTTGCATGTAATTTAAGAAATATCAAATATTTGACAGGTAATTGAGAATTTGCTAAATAAATATGTGACAATGTTAAATACCTTAGATGATTATTTTGAAGATTTTGTACCTGGTACTTCTGCAAAAAGCGAACTTAAAATCCCCCAAAAACCCAAACCAAGAAACAAAACCAACACTGTTCTAGCTGGAAAAAGTCATAACGAAGATTCTGCCTAAGAAATTTCTACAATGAAAATGAGATCATGAGAACTGTAAATTCCCGTGCTTTGGTAATAATGAATATTTCACTTCTCTTCCTATATTTAGTTGGCTACGAAGATTTGGTGTTGCTTCATAGCAATCCACTTAATTTATTACTTCCAAATGCCTAATCTTGTATCTAGGCCCTGGTGACTATGTTCAAAGTTATTATAAACTTTCTGGCATTACAAGCTCCTTCCGCTACTTTATCAGATATACGCTTACCTGGTCAACTTTGCTACAGTGATCCTGCTCAGTCTTGGTGGCTAGGATGAACTTCCTTCTCCACTACCTCAGGTATATCTGATCTAGATCGTTCAAACAGAGTAGTACATCCCACTAGGCCCAGAAGAAAACTGAATCTTGATGAGGTCATTTGTATCCTGGATCCTGGTATACCAGACAGATCTAGATCCATTTCTTGGACTTCCTGGGTACATAAATCTTTTTTTTTTTTTTTTTTGGCCTAGGCTAGTTTGAGTTGGATTTACGGTATATGCAATGTAAGAAAATTTAACTAACTTAAATGTGCCACTTACGTCTACTGCATTTCCTACTTCCATTATTAATATCATATAATTCCATCACATTATGTCAAAAATATATTTCATCTCAAAAACAAAAAATTAGCAAACAACATACTTTTCCTGTTTCTCTGTCATCATATTTCCCATATTTCTGGTAATTATTTGTAAATCTCCCACCCCCCAATCTTCAGTACTACAAATCTCCTTCTGAAATTTCCAGTTACCTGTTTGTTATATATCCTTCCAGAAATAGCCTATACACATACAAGCATATATGTATATTTGCAACTAAATACATCTACTTACAATATTGATGGTACTCTTTACACACTGTTAAAAACCTTGTTTTAAATTTAAAAGAATTTTTGTTATTTTGCTTCCTATTAAAAAAGAAATCCTCCATCCCAACCCATGTGTTGCACTCACTAGCTACATTCCCTTCCTTCCCTCCAACCCCCAAAGTGAAACACTTCCATGATTTTGGGTTCATCATTTTCAAGAATATTTTATACGTTTACTATGTAGTTATGTACTTACAGATAATATATCTGATTGTTTACGCGTTTCTAAACTGTATATAAATGATACTCTACACATTCGCAGACAATTGCTTTTTTGGACAGTATTATGCTTTTGACTCTTATTTGTATTAATACGTGTATCTATTCTGATTATAGTTACCTTCACACGTTGTGAACATGTGCAGTACATTGGGATTACAGATATATTTGGACTTATTTTTACATGTTTTTCATATTTGGCATCCTTTTCCTTTGTTCCTTTTTCCCTCTACTTATCCTGGATTAAAATATCTATATTCCCCTTTTTATTTACTATTTGGAATCTTTATATTTATATTCTACCTTGAAATTTTGGATAAACATACTTAAAAACATATTTTTGAGCAAAGCCTACAGTGAGTCAGAATTTCTATATACCATTAGCCCTCTGTATCTGTGGGTTCCACATCCACAGTTACTTGATGGCTGACTAAGGGACCTAAACATCCACAGATTTTGGTATCTGTGGGGGTCCTAGAACCAATGCCCTCCAGATAACGAGGGACGACTGTATGGACAACTGTACGATAAACATTTTACAGAAGTATAGCACTTTTTAAACTTGAATTTTTAGGCAAAAATTTTATTGAAGCAAAACATGCATCACATATGTAAGTATACACATGGATGAATTTTTTTAGGCAGGCTTATTGAGTTATAATTTAGACAAAGTAAAAATTCACCCATTTTTGAGGTAGAGTTGTGTAAATTTTGAAAAATGTACAGAGTCATATAATAACAATCACAGTCAAGATACAGAATATTTTCACTACCCCAAAGTGTTCCTTCATGCAACACTGCAGTCAATGTCCTTCCTTTACACGCAGCCCCTGGCAACCACTGATGTGATTTTCACCCCTATAGGTTTCTGTTTTCTAGAATGCCATATAAATATCATATAGTAGGCAGCCTTTTGAATTTGGCTTCTTTTACTTAATGCTTTTAACATTCATTCATATTATTACATGTATCCGTAGTTCATTCCTTTATATCACTGAGCAATATTCCATTGCATGGATGTACAATGTGTATATTCATTCACCAGTTGATGAATATTTGGATTGTTTCCACCTTTTGGCAGTTTTAATAAAGCTGCTATAAACATCTGCATATTGATCATTTTGTGGAAATATGCTTTCATTTCTCTTGCTTACATAAACACCAAGGACTGGAATTGCTGGGTCACATGATAAGTGTGTGTGTTTATATACTTTAAAAGTTATATACTCTATTAAGTTATATACATTATAAAGAAACTGCCAAATGTGCTGCCTAAATTGATAAAACTTAAAAACATCTGTGCTTCAGCAAGGGGAACCATAAACAAAATGAAAAGACAACCTACGGAATGGGAGAAAATATTTGCAAATGATGCAACCGACAAGGGATTAATTTCCAAAATATACAAACAGTTCATACAACTCAAGAACAGAAAAGAACAAACAATCCAGTCGAAAAATGGGCAGAAAAACTAAATAAGCATTTCTCCAAAGAAGACATACAGATGGCCAAAAGGCACATGAAAAGATGCTCAACATCGCTAATTATTAGAGAAATGCAAATCAAAACTACAATGAGATACCACCTCACAACAGTCAGAATGGTCATCATTAAAAAGTCTACAAATAACAAATGCTGGAGAGGGTGTGGAAAAAAGGGAATCCTCCTAGACTGTTGGTGGGAATGTACGTTGGTGAAGCCACGATGGACGACAATACAAAGTTCCTCTAAAAACTAAAAATAGAGTTGCCATATGATCCAGTAATTACACTCCTGGGCATATACCCAGAAAAAACTATAATTCAAAAAGATACACGCACTCCTATGTTCATAGTAGCACTATTCACAATAGCCAAGACATGTAAACAACCTAAATGTCCACTGACAGATGAATGGGTAAAGAAGATACATATATACAACGGAATACTACTCAGTCATAAAAAAGAATGAAATAATGCCATTTTAGCATCATGGATGGAACTAGAGCTTATCATACTAAGTGAAGTAACTCAGGAAGAGAAAGACAAATACCATATGATATCATTTACATGTGGAATCTAAAATATGACACAAATGAACTTATCTGTGAAACAGAAACAGACTCACAGACATAAGAGAACAGACTTGTGGTTGCCAAGGGGGAGGTGGTGGCGGAGGGATGGAGTGGGAGTTTGGGGTGAGCAGATGCAAACTATTATATATACAATGG